TAAACCATTTATGTAATAAAATTTAAAAGAAAAAAAACTGCACCAGAAAAATTTTATCTACAAGGAACTTTACTAAAACTGATACGTTTATTTATATTTTTATTAAAGCTATTTAGACGTCCTGATTGATACAAAGGCGGAATTTACTTTTGAGAGAGCAAATTATGTCATTATTTATCAATATCCAGGGTCGTATTTTAGTCTATTTTGAGTTGCCTGAAACTGCCGTCTAATCCGAAGATATCGTCATAACTTTTCGGTTTGCCAGGTCGTTTCGACTCGTCTGTTTTGTACTCTTCCTGCTCTTTAAACCAAGGTCCGTATTCTTCCATTTTTTTAATCCATTGTTCTGCAATTGATAACAGAAAAAATCAATAATGTCCAAAGACACATTCCCCAAGGACCGTTTACCATGATAATCTTGCATTTTTCCTGCACTTCCTCCATACTCCTCAGGTAACATATCTTTGGGAACGTATTTGTAAAGCGAATCGAAATTTTCGTGAATGTAAACTCTATTTTTGATTTTTTCTTTGAGAAACGGTTTCACCCAATTGTATATGACATCGACCAGGGGATGCACATTTACGACATGCACTTCCTTAAGTTTCACTGGATAAGCCTCCTACAATAAACAAAAAACAACAAATTAGTTACACGACGACATTATCAGGGACGTATTTAGACGCTGAGCAACTATTTGTGAAAATCGAAGTACAAATGCATAGTCTTAAGTCATATGTTACGTTCTTGTCCAATAAAATTTCGATCCGTGGCCTAAGTACGCCCCACATATATGTAACAACGACATTCACTCCGTACCTAGCAACTTCTCTACTTGTACGTTTCACAATTTCTTTCTCGTTTTTCGTTATTCTTACCTGTACAATGACTAAAAATTTTTTAACAAGTGCCGGGGTCACCCTGGCAAAGTGACCCGACGTCACAACGCTTGCGTCTAGTATATACACGTCTCCAGCAACCCCAACTTCTTCGGCTGCTAGTCTTATGTCACCTATCATGAAGACCAATTTCATGGCATCCTCGGGTTTCGGGTGCATCACGGTTTTGTCTACGCCACGCATGCAAACCACCCTACGACCATTAGGGGTTAAACCGGGTAACGGCGGGATGTTACTAAACAAAATTAAAAAATGATATTAAATATACGCATACTGTTAGTAAGTACGTGTTTGTGAATGTACGCATTAGCACCTAATCAAAATGCAGTTCCATTTTTGGTCTCTTTGACCATCCCAAATTGTCCTTAATTTTTTCCACACCAAAAATCATGATAACTTATTACTATAAGGAACTACGACGTTAGGATATAGCTAATAATCTTTGAAAAGTAATATTCTAATCAACAATGAAAATTTTATCAAAATCCTTATCGGGGTTCTCAAGTTAAATTGTAACAGACACGTATTTCTCGGTAAATTTTCTTTATAACAATAATACTTGTTAAATCTGTTCAATTTTTTAGAAGAACCCTACCAAACGACTAAATTTTTTGTATATTATATTACTAGTAGTGACCCGCCCCAGCTTCGCACGAGTGCAATGCTGTTACTAAATATATGTTTGTTTTGTTTAGATTATTATCGAAAAGGGGAAATCTTCAAAAGGTACCCCCTGAACATACTAAATATACTACAGAATGTCTTTATATACAACATTCACAGTTTTTTTGTCATTAGACAATACAAACCGGCCTCCCGGCCGGTACCGCCGCAACCGCTATGTCCCTGCA